TTTCCTAAAATATATAGACATGTTTTTATCAAACACAAGTAAAAGCAGTTTTTGATATTTGTATACATAAAGCCTAAATTATTTTTAATAATGCAAAATTTATTATCATGCAACTTTAAATAATAATAATAATAATTGTGAAAAACTATATGTTGAATCCTGATTTGTCTACGAATCACACCCCAAGGAATAGAGCATAAGTCAGAAGAGAGAGTGAGAGAGAGATAGTTAGAGGAGTAAAAAATAATGAATTACAATACGTCATGTCATATTCATGAAATGATCTCCTACTTATAAGAAACATAGTACAATATGATAATATTACATTTTTGCCCTGCTTTAATGAGAGTTGTACAAGGTATTCTAGTTATTTTACATATATGAGCTTGTCGCACTACTACTCTCTAGCTTGGTCGGTTGAACTAGTATGGCTTTGGTTTGGTGGGGCTGGTTTGATTAGTTGTTTTTTTGTTGGCGTCACCGGTCGATTGAGCTCAATTGGCTTTGAGTAAGCATGTTCGGTTCATTTGGCTAGGCTTGGTCAGTGTTGACAATCGACTGATCTAATTTGACTTTTGACTCACGATCTCTACCGGGGAACACTTATTGGTAGAGCGACGTTGAACTGTCGAGCGACTATCGAGCAGAGGGTGAATCTCCATAACCCGATATATAGCTCGCTCTTCAACGAGGAGAGCCTGAGGGATCACTATATAATTCTTTGTTGTATTGTTAATTTTTGGTCTCTGATGGGGATAAACCTCAAGGTGTCTGTAGAATGGATGGTGATTTTGCGAGATTGTTATTTCGTTGAATGGAATTCATAGAAAGATAGGTTGCCATCGATCATCTTTCTTTTAGTGGTTCCTTGAATATCTCTTTCTCCCTTTTATGACCGAATGACTCATATTTGATCACATTCTCGACTCTACCAGCTTTGGCCTTACATGCTCTAACTCCGATGACTGCATCAAAAAGAATAAGTAGGCCTCTTGGTATTTTATCGGCGGGCCTTCATTTGTCACACTCTTCCTTATGAATCATTAGATCTCATTGGGATTAGCGTTGACACATTTTTTATGTACACCTTTTTACTAAGCAGACCGTCACTCGCGAACCCCATGTTCGTGATTATCACCATTATTGATTCATTACAAGAACCAACATGATGAAAGAGACCATTGGGATACTTAAAATAAATATATGCATAAATTGTTGAAAATTAAACTTGATTTAATTTGGGCTTTTATTAAGACCACAATCTAGAGAAGTCTATAAAAATTCCTAGGTCTCATTCTATGAAGAATGTTATGAAGGATTCTAGGGATACATTTTAAAAGAGTGATTTGGAGAACTCTAGAATATATATTAATGACTTTTGTAAATGAATATATGAGAATATTTTAGAGATTCAATAGGAGTCATTGGATTGAAATGTGTTGGCACAATTTTAATGGAGTGTCACTAGTATAAATAAGGGTGATGTGTTTGAGTCTTTTATCAAGTAGAATCAAGAAGTACAAGAGTGAAATAAAAGTGAATTTTCCTCTTCTTCCTTTTTATGATAGTCTCTTTTATTCCAACAAAATGGCATCAGAGCCAACGTTTCTTTCTAGAGAGATAGTGAGCAACTATATAATCCCCTTTAAAGTCTCGATGCTCAACAATAACATCTATGACAATTGGAGCATCACGATGAAGGCTCTTTTGGAGTGTAAGATGTATGGGAGATGATAGAAAAAGGCTACAATGAGCCACATGATGTGTCAATTCAATCTTAAACTCAAAAGGATAGTCCAAGAGATTTGAGAGAATGCTCTCTGTCTAATCTTTCAAGGATTAGATGATGATGTTTGTGAGAAGATTTTCGATGCAAAGTCTATCAAAGAGGAGTGAGAGAAGTTTCGTACCTCTTATAAAGAAGTGGAGCAAGTTAAGAAGGTGCGTCTCCAAATACTAAGAGTTGAGTTTAAAGCCTTACATATGAAAGAAACTGAAGTTGACTCTGAATACTTTAGAAATGGGGAGAAGCTAGAAGATGTAAGAATTAAGGAGAGGATCCTTCGATCTTTAGATTCAAATTTTGATCATATCATCATCATCATTGAAGAAACTAAAAATATGTAGGCTATGACAATTGAGAAGCAGTAGGATTATTACAAGCCTATGAACAACATAAAAACATAAAGCAAGGAATCATAGAACAGCTCCTGAAGATGCAAATTAATTCAACTAAAGAAAAAATCCTCATGTATGATGGAAGCCAACAAGGGAGAGTTCATGGTCGAGGACAAGGTTGTGGTCATAGACGTGGATGAGGTAGGAGCTCCAATAATAACAACAACGACAATAAAACCAACTCTGAATGAGGAGAAAGTTCAACAAGAGAGAATGGAAGAGGATAATCAAGACCAAGGTACAATAAATCTCAAGTAACCTGTTACTACTGTAAAAATTTTGGTCACTACACTACAGAATGTAGAACTCCCATAAAAAATAAAGTTGATGAGAAGGCTAATTACGTGGAAGAGAGAAGTCATCAAGATGAGAATTTGCTACTAGCATATAAGAAGAACAAAAAAATGAAGATAGCACATGATATCTAGGCACCAGTGCAAGCAACCATATCTGTGGAAGAAAAAGTTTGTTGTGGAGCTTGACAAGTTAGTGAGCGATAATGTATCCTTTTAGAGATGACTCTGATGAAAGTTGTGAAGGGTAAAGGCAATATTCTTATTCAATTGAAGAATGGAAAGCACCAATTCATTTCAAACGTTTATTGTGTACCATACATGAAGAATAATATCATAAGTCTGGGTCAGCTCTTAGAGAAAGTTTATGATATTCATTTAAAAGACAATTAACTTTCCATAAGAAATAAAATGAGTAGTCTAATTGTAAAGATATCAATGTCAAGAAATAGAATATTTTTTCTCAACATTCAAAATAATATTGTCAAGTGTCTCAAAGCTTGCTACAAAGATCCATCTTGGCTCTGGCATCTTCAATTTGGGCATATCAATTTTGGAGAACTGGAGCAATTAACAAAGAAAAAAAATGGTGAGAGAATTGTCCTGCAATAATCTCCCAGACGATATATGTCAAGGTTGATTTCTCGGGAAGCAATTTAGGAAGAGATTTCCAAAGGAGTAAAATTCGAGAGCACAAAAGCCACTTGAACTCATACATATGGATTTATGCGGTCCACTCAAGCCAAGCTCACTCGGTAATATTAATTACTTCCTTCTCATCATAGATGATTTTTCAATAACAACTTGGGTATATTTTTGAAGCGAAAATCAAAGGTCTTTGAAGTATTCAAAAAGTTTAAAGCCTTGGTGGAGAAAGAAAGTGGTCTTGAGATCAATGTTATGTGATCTTATTGAGAAGGGGAGTTTACTTCAAAGGAATTTCAATAATTTTATGAAGTCAAAGGAATAGGTTGACCGTTGACCATCCCAAGATCCCCTCCACAAAATGGTGTAGTAGAAAGAAATAATTGAACTATCTTTGACATAGCTCTAAGTGTGCTCAAGCATAAGAGGCAACCTATAAAATTTTGGGGCAAAGCTATTACATGTGCGGTTTACTTATCCAATCAATGTCCAACAAGAAGTGGGGAATGACACTGCAAAAAGCATGAAGTGAAAGGGAGCTCATTGTCTCTCATCTAAGAGTGTTTGGAAGCACAAACCATGTGCACGTACCTGATGAGGAGCGAAGTAAACTGGATGACAGGAGTGAGAAGTGCATTTTCATCGGTTATGAAACTAGCTCAAAAGGCTACAGGTCATACATTACAAATACTAAGACAATCATCAGTCGTGATATCGTGTTTGATAGAGAAGGAGAATGGGCTTGGGACCCACATGATGATCAATACAACTTTAAAAATTAAGAAGGGGAGAAATTAAGGATGGAACAAGAAAAAGATGAACCCACTGCATCACCAGCTATACCAACTACAAGTACTCAAGGGGACCCATTATCTTCATCATCTTCAAGTGAACGATCAAGCGAAAAAGTACCACGCTTCAGAAGTTTACAGGAAATTTATGAGGAAATTGAGAATCAAGACAATTTCACTCTCTTTTGCCTCTTTATTGATTGTGAAATTGTTAGTTTTCAAGAAGCTGTGCAAAGTAAGAAGTGGAAGGATACAATGGACAAAGAAATCAAGGCAATCTAGAATAACGATACGTGGGAACTAGCTACACGTCCAAAAGGGCACAAAGCAACTAACGTAAAGCGGGTATACGAAGTAAATAAAAATGTCAAAGAAGAAATCGAGAAGTATAAAGAAGATCGCTAGCAAAAGGCTAAAACTAAAAAGTTGGAATTGACCATCATCAAAATAAGCATATCGACACACGCTATCATTTCATTAAAGACTGCATCATAACAAAGGATGTGCAAATGGAGTATGTGAAGACTTGTGATCAAATAGTTAGCATATTCACCAAGCTGCTCAATTATGAAGATTTTATCAGGATAAGATGATTATTTGGGATGACAAATCAAGTTTAAGAGGGAGTGTTGAGAATTGAACTTGATATAATTTGGGTTTTTAATTGAGCACATAATCTAGAAAAGTCCATAGAAATTTCTAGAGTTTAATTTTATGAAGAATGTTTTAGAGGATTCTAGGGATACAATTTAAAAGAGTAATTTAGAGAATTCTAAAATATGTAATTAATGACTTTTGTAAATGAAGATAGGAGAATATTTTAGAGAGTCAATAGAAGACATTCGATTGAAATGTGTTGGCACAATCCTAATGGAGTGTCCTTGGTATAAATGGAGGAGACGTGTTTTAAGTTTTTTATCAAGTGAGTGTTCCTCTTCTTACATTAGCCTTTTCTCTTCCATCATAAGTTACGTTAGAAGACAAAGCTAATAGCTAGTAATAGAGTTAAGAGAAGGGCTCGAACGAAGATGAATTATAAGGACTATATGGATATGCTTGGGCCCTTCTGGCAATAAGTGAGGTAACTCCTGCAATGGCGGAAGCTCGAGCTTGGGAAATTTATGCAGATCTCCGGCAATGGCATAAGCTCGGGGTAGGGAAACTCATGCAGGATGGAGGCAATTCAGGATAGGGAAAGTCCAGGACTTCTGGGTAGGCAAAGTGTTCTGGCTCATCGTCTTCTGAAAGACATTTTGCTGCGATAAATTAGAAGCTATGAGTGATGGAGTGTGGAGATACTGCGTCTGCAGGTATATGTTCATGAAAATGAGAATATATATGGGCATAGGAGCGACGTAAGTTGGGCATGGAGGTTGCTGAAATTGCAGGGAGAGTATTTCTCCGTTAGTTCAACATCTTATTGGTCTTTGTGCGGGAGTAATATATGTATGTCAAAGCTGCATTTTTTAACAGAATAAAGAGGTCATTTGGTTTGTTTGCTCTTGAGCAGCGCCTGTATGGTGTACATTTTGCGGGGAGTAGTTAATGAGGTATACATAAGCATTATTTTTAATACAACTCATAAGATTCATTATTATTTCGTGGCAGTAATAACTGTATTGTTGCGTGGGTGGGGGGTAAAGTCAGAAAATTTTTTTTTAGTGAATGCACAAGTTAATGATTTAAAAAGTTCTCACCATTATATTTATCAGAATTTGGGACCGATATTAACAACAACCTAAAAGAATTAAGCAACAAATTATGATAAAATTGATAATATATGTTTGTTATTGATTGTTAATCAATTTAATTAACTTAAATTAATTTTAAAATATATATTAAATCTCAAAACCTATTTTCATCTTGCTCACTTCGCCGCTCTCGATTTAGCCCAAAGCCATTTTCTACCTTCACATTCCATATAGTTGCGACTGGAGCTAGTTGGGAATGCAACATCGGGTTCTAGGACATACAAATTAAAAAAGATCTTCAATACCCTCTATATCTCCCCTTTGTCGAAAATTAAACTTGAATTTTAGCCCATATGAAATTAGTCTTTAATAGAGACAGAGAAAATTCTAAAGACTCATTTTATGAAAAATGTTTTAGGAGATCCTAGAGACATTTTAAAAGAGTGATTTAGAATGTTCTAGAATATATAATTAATGGCTTTTATATTAAAAGATAGAAGAATATTTTAGGGAGTCAATAGTAGTCACATGATTGAAACGTGTTGGCGCAATTCTAATTAATGGGAGTGTTAGTGTATAAATAGTTAATGTGTATTTTATATCAAGAAAAAAATATTGAAATAAAAGAGTCTTTCAAGTTGTGTTTGTCTTCATTATTAGCATTCCTCTTATCCAAATAATATTTTATTTCTAACAAAGTGATATCAGAGTCAAAAGATCCTTTCTAGAGATGGCGAGCAACGTTATGATCTCCTTTCAAGTCCCAACACTCAACAATAAAAAATATGGCAATTGATGCATTAAGTTGAAGACCCTCCTTGGAGCACAAGATGTATGAGAAATGCATGGTACTCTATAGAAAAAAGTGCTATAACTGATGACTTAACTTTTCATTGCTAAAAATGTCCTATTTTCCAACGATTTTATGATGTCTTATGTGTTGCATTATTTCTGACTGCATAACAACAGAGCATATGAATTGTAGATTATTTTCTGACGGTTTTTATTTTAACTGATGCATTGCACTATTGGTTATAAGCACATAAAAATTGACAATTATATATTGGTTATTTACGAACCCGTCATTTGGCGGGGCGTTAACCGACGAACATTTTTAGTAACTGATCGTTAATGTCATCGGTATTAATGTTAATAATTGAAAATTTTGAAGCTGTTAGAAAGAATTACTTATACTGCCAAAAATTTTTATGCCCCCAAACTTGCCCCATTTCCCTTATCCCTATCGGTCTCTCTCTCTCCCTAGTGCCATAACCCTCCCCTCACCCGGCGACTCCAATGCACTAGCTACCTCAGCTCCAACGACTCACTCACTCTGACGCTCAAAGGTAGGGTTGGATCTCTTACTAGACATTTACAAGAGGATGCACCTTGGTTTATGATTTTTGTTGTTGATATCCTTCTTGTGGATATATCTAAGCTACAAATGCCTTAGATATCTCGGGTCTAGTGTTCGATGTAGAAGGGATGTTATTAGTAGAATTCAATTTTGTTGGTTGAAGTGGAGGAATGCTTCGGGTCCATTGTGTTATAGAAAAGTACCACTTCGAATGAAAGGAAAATTTTATAAGATGGTGGTGAGACCTGCAATGCTCTGTGAAACAAAATGCTGTCCTTTAAAAGATAAGCATAAAATTAAGTTAAGTGTTGTCGAGATGAGAATGCTTAGGTGGATGAGTAAATTTTCACTTGGAGATAAAATGCAATATGAATATATCCTTGAAAGGGTTAGTGTAGCTCCTGTAGTGGACAAAATTAGAGAGAGTCATCTTAGATGGTTTGTTCACATTAAACGTCAACGATCTGATGATCTGGTTAGGAGATTAAATGTTTTAAATTTGATTTATGTTAAGAAAGGCAGAGGTAGACCAAGAAAGACTTGGGCATATTGTATAAAAATTGATCTTAATATATTAGAATTAAATCAAAATATGACACTCAATAGGAAACAATGGAGAAAAAGGATTCAAGTAGTCGACCCCACTTAGTGGGATAAAGCCTTGTTGTTGTTGGTGGTGAGACCTGCAATGTTATATGAAATAGAATCTTCGCCTTTAAAAGAGAAGAATAAAATTAAGTGATGAAGATGAGAATGCTTGCGTAGATGAGTGGCTTTACACTTAGAGACAAAATGTGAAATGCGTATATCCATGTTAAGGTTGGTGTAGTTTCTGTGGCAAACAAAATTAGACAGACTCGTCTTAGATGGTTTGGTCACATTAAACTTTGACCATCTGATAAATCAGTTAGGAGTGTAGATGTTTTTGGTTTGACCTATGTTTAAAAAGGCAGAGGTTGACCACCCACAAAGATTTAGGCATATTGTATAAAAAATGATCTTAATATATATGAATTGAATGAAAATATGACTCTCTATAGGACACAATGAAGAAAAAAAATTCATGTAGCTGACCCTACTTAGTGGGATAAAAACTTATTTTTATTGTTATTGTTATTGTAGAGAAGCTGAAGTTTTTGGGTTTGATCGACCGCCCGGTTTGATCATCCACTCTTTTGGGTTTGATTAACAACATTGATTCGATCATCTATTTTGGGTTTGATCAATCACCCCGACCATATCGACCCATTTCCCAAGCTCGATCAGCTGCCCCAGCCCAATCAGTTGATTTTTTGGGTTTGATCAACCACACAGGTTAGATCAATCGATTTGGGTCTGATCGGCAGTCCCGGGCCAACCACCCGTTCTTTTGGGTATGATCAATTATCCTGAATCGATCATCCCATTATTTTGGTTTGACCGACAACTATGACCCGATCAACCAATCACTTGCATGCTTGTATGCTTTCGCATCATTTTTTTTTTTTGCATGAGTATGAAAATCTTAGTTTGACTAAAATATGTTTTCCATGTATGCTTTGCAAGTGGCGTGTTTAGATGTCTCTTTGAGCAACCATGCTTGGGGTTTCTTTTTGAGCACCCCCACTTGTGGTGTCTCTTTGAGCTCCCACACTTGTAATCGTCTTCCCTAGGGGATGGACACTTGCAAACTTTTGGAGGAGTCAACTCACTTACAAGCCATATATCTCACTCCCTACAATGTTGCCTATAGTGTCTTAGGAATTTAAATTGGTCAAGCATGAGTCACACTTCCTAGCTATTAAACTCGTACGAGGCACAATGTGTGTCCATCTAGGTGTGTGATTCTCCCTTGTTAGGATCACATCACTTAGTCTACTTGGGACTTAGCATTTATGTATGCTTGTCATTTGTATGTCGTTTACTTGACATTTTTTCATGTCATATGCTTGACATTTCTCATATATATGTTCCATATTTTGTATGTTTGCATGTGTGTTAAGTGACTACCTCTCGAGTAAGGAGTAAACTCTTTTCATATATATCATTTTACTCAATGCAAACTCACTTATAGCTGGTGCTTGCTTATCGCACGACACCCTGGGTCACCTGGAAGGTGCAATTCCTCTTTATACAAGTGTCATTTAGTTCCTTCTACCAAGCATGTCTCAAACACACTGCATGTAGATAACTTTCTATGCTAACATAATTTTCGTGCAGATTGAGTATTTTTTTCTTAATTTTCCTATCTACTTATTAGTCTTGAGAAGTTATGTAGTGGAAATAAGATATAGACACGGGTTCTGAGGCATTTGGCGTGGGAACCACGTGATAGGGGCAAGGGCAAATGCTCGTGTCATGTATCTTAATTTCACTTTTAATATTGATGTATTGATTTATGACCGGGCAAGTATCTGTAGAATTCAACAGTTTTTTTTCTGGGATATGTTGCTGACCCAACGACACCCACCTTCTATATATTCTTTTATTTGTGTGCCTTACCTTTTTCTTATGACTACTTAGTTCCATGCTTTCTTTTTGGATTGCTGCTTACCTGGGCTGTCATTTATAAATATGACACAGACTCTTTAAGGACTTTTAAAATTTTATGTTCTCCATAAAATATAAATAATAGAAGATTAAATATAAATAAAATTTAGGGTTAAAATATTTAAGACACTTAAAATCTATAGTTTATTTTTTGCATGGCCTTTGGGTCGGTTTTAAAATTGTTTGCATATCACGACTATCACCTAATCATGTTTAATAGGGTCTTCACACCATAAGATTGTGGTAAATAATTGCATCATGCTTGTATATACCTTAGCAGAAGTCCCCGTGCTTCTTCACACCAGACTGCCCAACACAGATTTTTATTTAGGTGGTCGTCTAGTGTGTTTAGGGTGTTAGAACCAGACTTGTGTAAATCATTTAGTTAGGAGTGTTTCTAGCTTTGTGGCTTAACCTCTTTTTCTCTTTCTTTCTTATGACATTCTTTTCATTTAGGCAGGTATAAGTTCCAAATCTTGGAGCTCCAGATGACAGTCATATGATAGAATTTTGTTTCTTTGACCTTAAGGCTATAGAGGTTCCCGTGGATGATACAATTCATGTATTGCAAACGGGGGATCCCTAAACTTTTTGGGTTGACTACCTTTATGATTAGCTAGACTTAGGGTCGTAGTGGCTTGGGATGACAGGTTTGTGGTTCCCTGGCCTGACTGCCTCTACCTTTTAGAATTAATCTAACATTTCTCTTGTTGAGCCATGTTGCTCATTTTGGCCTTATTGATATCATCTTGAAGGCCATATTACCAATGAGCTGTCGCCCGTTTGCGATGCAATGATTCACCCTCTACCCTTATGGCCCAGTGAGCTATGACGTATAGGGACATCCTCATCGACATGACTTTGGTTATTTCATATGTTTTGTATGTCGATGAGTTACTACTCATTGAGGACATGAGAGACTCTCTCTCTGCCTTATGGCTTAGTGAGAGCTTTGAAAGCATCGGGGCATTATCATACAAAATAATCATTCTTTGATGATCTATTCTTTAGGCTGATGATAATATAAATGGAACTCCTTTTATCGGGAGTATTATTGGGTGTCTCCCAAGATGTAATTAATCGGAGGGATATGTTCCTCTGGGAGACTCTTGACCTCAAAACAAAAGTGTCATTTTTGACTATCTGGTTTCGAGTGACTTATGTAGGGATTCTTTTTGTAAATGTTGTGTTTCGAGGTACTTCAATCTGATGCTATCCAGAATTATATTCTTAACCCATCACACAAGGATTACTCATATATAAGCACTCCACTTGTTTCTTTTTATTTGTTTGCCTATGTATTGTCGTATATCCTTCTTTTTTATTTCTCTCTTCTTTGAACCATTGATATGATTCAGAGGGGGGTTTATTAGAATAAGGGAATTATACATCGACATATAAAAAAAACATGGTGAATATCAATCAGTTATTCAACCGGAAATATATTTCAGTAAATTAATCCGCTTATTATAACAGAATAATTGGTTGAAAATTTTCACTTGTTATAATATGCCATATAGAACATATTTTTATGTATTATTAAGAATTGGCTTGAATTTTTGGATTTATAGCATGTTGACCTAACTGGAGCACTTTTTAAACATAGTCGCACTTGAACGATAAGTAAATTGTTCAAATTATGTCCTTTGATTGTTATGCATGACCATCATTTCCCTAAGAGCGTGAAATATATCCAAAAACCTTTTTTTGTGTGTGATAATTTGAGATAATTGTTAATTATGATTTGGCCGAATTAACAAGCAAGAAAATGTTTGTACTATAATTTATGAATATCATTGAACCATTGTATAATCCATCAAGGTCATAAGGATTAAGGGATTATCAACCTAGTTTTTGAGTTATAATTTTTTTATGATTGATAAGCTTAAATAATGAAACATGATTAATATAAAAAAATATTGGTGTAATTGAGATTAAGTCTAATATAAGACACACTAGGATTGATTTATACCAGCTTATTAGCCTATTGACTCAAAATAGATTTTAAAATCAGGGCTATTTTTCTTGACCTATAGCTAGCACACTGAGGTTTTAAATCCCATAACCAATCAACAATCCTAGGAAATGGAGACCTTTTGTTGGATCAATAAAATTATTTGTAACGTTTTTCACGATATAATAGTAAACAACGATTAATTAAATATTTACATTGGCTAGTATTTTTTGTTATATATTAAAAAGATGGGTTAACATCATATATAATAAAAATATGTAATATTAGAACGACATCTAATACATATATTTATTCAATTAATAGATGCATGTAACATGCATGCATTTCACTTTATTTTTTTTATCATTGACTAGCAATTAAATATGAACCAACTAAAGGTTATAGAATATTGGTAAAGATTCAATTGACCCAACCATCTTACATATAAATCATATAAATATATCTCTAATAGAAATAAAATTATGAAAGTATACAATAGAAACACAAATCACTCCCTCGCCTATCAATGCATCTATAAATTTCAATGATGAGAAAAAAAAGACTACAATTAAGGTTGCATACCCTATAAAATATAGTAGAATTAACTTTAGCTGAAATGAAAAAAGGCATGAAGGATATAATACTAGTGAACTTAAGGATTGTGAGGTTGTGGTGGCACTTCAAGCTTTGGTGGTAGTTCAGGCTTGGGAAGTGTTGGTTCCTCATGCTTTGGCAGTGTAGGCTCTATCTGCTTCGGAAATGTTGGCACTTCAGGCTTCGGTGACAATTCAGGTTTCGGAAGTGTTGGCACTTCAATTTTAGGTGGTAGTTCAGGCTGGGGAAATTTTGGTTCTTCAGGCTTAGGGATTGTTGGCACTTCGGGCTTTGGAAATGTTGGCACTTCAGGCTTTGGTGGTTGTTCTGGTTTTGGAAATGTTGACACTTCTGGCTTGGGAAGTACTGGCTCTTCGGGCTTCGGAATTTTTGGCACTTCATGCTTTGGAAGTGTTGGCACTTCAGGCTTTGGTGGTAGTTCAGGTTTTGGAAGTGTTGGCGCTTCAGGCTTTGGTGGTATTTCAGGTTTCGAAAGTGTTGGCACTTCGGGCTTGGGAGGTACTGTTGGTTCTTCTGGCTTAGGAATTGTCGGTACTTCAGGTTTTGGAAGTGTTGGCCCTTCAGGCTTTGGTGGTAGTTCATGTTTTGGAAGTTCTGGTACTTCAGGCTTTGGTGGTAGTTCAAGTTTGGGAAGTGTTGGTTCATCTGGCTTTGGGATTGTAGGCACTATTGGCTTTGGAAATGTTGGCACTTCAAGCTTTGGTGGTAGTTCAGGTTTCGGAAGTGTTGGCACTTCAGGCTTCGGTGGTAGTTGGGGCTTCGGAAGCGTTGATACTTCAGGCTTCGGTGGTAGTTCAGGCTTGGGAAATATTGGTTCTTCAGGTTTTGGGATTGTCGGCACTTCAGACTTTGGAAGTGTTGGCACTTCAGGCTTTGGTGATAGTTCAGGTTTTGAAAGTGTTGGCTCTTCAGACTTCGGTGGTAATTCAGGCTTGGGAAGTGTTGGCTCCTCGGGTTGTGGTGGTAATTCGGGTTTTGGAAGTGTTGGCACTTCAGGCTTTGGTGATAGTTCAGGTTTTGAAAGTGTTGGCTCTTCAGACTTCGGTGGTAATTCAGGCTTGGGAAGTGTTGGCTCCTCGGGTTGTGGTGGTAATTCGGGTTTTGGAAGTGTTGGCACTTCAGGCTTTGGTGGTAGTTCAGGTTTGGGAAATATTGGTTCTTCAGGTTTTGGGATTGTCGGCACTTCGGGTTTTGGAAGCGTAGGCACTTCAGGCTTTGGCGGTAGTTCAGGTTTTGGAAGTGTTGGCACTTCAGGTTTGGGTGGTAATTCAGGCTTGGGAAGTGTTGGCTCCTCGGGCTTTGGTGGTAATTCGGGTTTTGGAAGTGTTGGCACTTCGGGTTTTGGTGGTAGTTCGGGTTTGGGAAATATTGGCTCTTCAGGCTTTGGGATTGTCGGCACTTCCGGTTTTGGAAGCGTTGGCACTTCAGGCTTTGGTGGTAGTTCAGGTTTTGGAAGTGTTGGCACTTCAGGCTTGGGTGGTAATTCAGGCTTGGGAAGTGTTGGCTCCTCGGGCTTTGGTGGTAATTCGGGTTTTGGAAGTGTTGGCACTTCGGGTTTTGGTGGTAGTTCGGGTTTGGGAAATATTGGCTCTTCAGGCTTTGGGATTGTCGGCACTTCCGGTTTTGGAAGTGTTGGCACTTCAGGCTTTGGTGGTAGTTCAGGCTTGGGAAATATTGGTTCTTCAGGTTTCGGGATTGTCGGCACTTCGGGTTTTGGAAATGTTGGCACTTCAGGCTTTGGTGGTAGTTCAGGCTTGGGAAATATTGGTTCTTCAGGTTTCGGGATTGTCGGCACTTCGGGTTTTGGAAATGTTGGCACTTCAGGCTTTGGTGGTAGTTCAGGTTTTGGAAGCGTAGGCACTTCAGGCTTGGGTGGTAATTCAGGCTTGGGAAGTGTTGGCTCCTCAGGCTTTGGGACTTTTGGCACTTCAGGTGTTGGAAGTGTTGGTACTTCAGACTTTGGTGGTAATTCAGGTTTTGGAAGTGTCGGCACTTCAGGTTTGGGAAGTGTTGGTTCCTCGGGTTTTGGGATCGCCGGCTCGTAAGGCTTCGGTGTTGGCTCCTCAGGTTTTGGTGGTAATTCAGGTATTGGTAATGTCGGTTTTGGAGGTGTTTCTGGTTCATGAACTATATACCCTTCAGGCTTTTGTGGCAATTCAGGTTCTTTGACTTCATGTGGGGACCCTGGCTGAAACGAAGTAGGATATTCCGGCAGAAAGCGCGCAGCTTTGATCCCGGAGTTATTTGATGAGATAAGCACAACATAGAAGAAGAGAGTGAAAAAGGGAATATAGGAAGCCATGAAGAAAGTGAAAAGAAGACAATATGCCGCACCAAAGGAAGGAGAAAAGATAGATGCAATGAAGTTTTGGCAGTAAGGTGGAGATTACGGTTGTCAGCTATTTATAACATGCCATTCTATCCGATTGCTCTTGGGACATTAAAGGTGGTGTATGTTCCTTTCCAATGGCGTTGAGTTGGTGGCTTTTAATAATGTCTGGTTGTTAGTGTTTTGGTGAAAAACTTGCATGGGAGAGAGAGAGAGATAGAGGGAGATAGAGAAAGAAGAGAGAGAAAGAGAGAGAGCAGGAGCTTGGGGAAGAAGTATTCCTATGAGATTTGGTAATTAGTTCAACGTCTCATGAACACAAAGGAAAAAAATGGCCGGGTAATCACACGCGGCTAGCAATTTGCGTGATGACTTTTGCTACTGTAACGGACGGTTAAACAACTACAATTGGAAAAATAGTGCAATGTAACATACGGAAATTTCGAAGATGTAAATCCGAAACGGGAAGCCATCATCGTGCGGCTATTATTGTGACACGTATTATCAATTTGTTTGATGGTGATTGTGAAATAGTATGCTTATATATGTTAAAAAATAATATCAAAATTTTATAAATAAAATAAATAAAAAGAGATTATTTGATGGTTTTTTTTTCCTTTTGATTATTTTTTTATTTATGTGATGAATTGATTAACACTATCTTATAATCACCTACAAAACTCTGACGTGTACAATTAATTAAAAAAATAATTTTAAAAAAGCTATAGTACATAACAACGAGAGATTATCAGATTATTGATTTTTTTTTTCTCAATTAGGACTATCTACCGAATAATGCAAATTTTAGATGACCGGGGCCATATGTTATTTTACATGAATAAAGCATGTAGAAAATATTGCATCAAGACTCCGCACGCAGAGTTAGGTGCCGAGCCCGATGAAATCACGTCAAGTGGTAGTGACAGAAAAAATAAATAAAATCTGCGATGTAACACAAGGGAATATTCTCCAAGTATTATTCAAGTGTTATTATGTGTTTTTTTATATATAATTGTGTGTTATTCAAGTATTATTGATGTGTTATTGTGTTATTATAACACCGAGAATATTCCCAAAATATAATAACCTCTGAATAACTTATACAATAACATGAATAACACGGAATAATACAGGGAGAATATTCCCCCGGTGTTATCGGGCTGATTTTTTTTCTGTCACCTCTACGTGACGTGATTTCATTGGACTCTATACGTAATTCTATGTGCGGAGTTCTTATACAATATTTTTTCCACGTGGCCAAAAAAACGCTCTGGTTGCAACTTGTAATTGACACAAGGTTATACATGTTAAACTAATACTTGTAAGTTGTAACTAAAACTTCATTTATTCATGAGTAAGAATTTGACTCGAGGGGTATATTTTTTATGGATTTTATGATATAAATTTTGGATTTGAGAGTCGGTGTGAATAAATTATAGTACTTTCTAGATGAGGTTAAAATGCGTAACCCCTGACGTACTCATCGTACGCTTTTAACAAAAAATTATGAGATTTATTTACATGATGTTTATATATATATAGCATTAATCAATTTTATTTATTTTTATATTATTGCATAACAATTTCATCCGAAAGCAAATTAAACACTTTTTTCTTAAAAAAATAATTTTCACGTGTTATTTTCTCTTTACATAAATATCTATTTACTAAACTTTAAGACAAAAAAAAAATGAAATGAATTAATTTAGAGCAAAATTTTGGACCTTTTTCCTTTTCCTTTTAAGAAAAAGCATGCAAAAATATAATGACAAACAAAAGGTCCGTTTGGAGCAGTTTATTTGGTGCGGTGGTGTTTTGAAAATGCACTTTACATATTTGGATAAACTGCGTTTTGACAGCTTATGTGTTCTCAAAACGCCAAAAACAAGGTTTTCACACCGCACTTATCTAGGTGCGGTGGGAACTTTCTGACAGCGGTCTGACTGTACCAAAAAAATAAAAAGTTATAATAGTCATCGTACCTAACTTATCAGCAGATTGTTTTTAATCAACTTATCAGCAGATTATTTAATAAGTTGCAGCTGCCCCAAACAGACCCAAAGTCTAAAGAGCAATATTAAAACAGTAAAGTTATAATTAAGAAAAGAAAATACTCCCAACAAAGAAGAAGGCCCGAGAATTAAAGATCAAAAATTTATATTGTTAAACATTAAGAGGGCCATACACGCTAGACGTTTGAAATGATTGAGCATACCTAATAAATAAGCAGCTAGTGCATAAAGGAGAGAACCTGAGAACCAATTGCTACGACAAACGTTCATGGCATGAATTAACGACTCCACATGCGTTCGTAGCAGAGCCAAAACTTTTTTCGATGGAAGCACAAATTAATAATTTTAAATGTAGCTTAAATTTTTTTATCCATGATTGAGACTTATGTTGTGATTTTACATTGTTTTAATTTTTAATATAAAATTAATAAAAAAAATATACTTACAAAAAAAAATTAAAAATATTGCTTGAAATAGTTGTATAATTATTTTATTATATTGTTGTGTGTCAGAATATGAGCGATGATATAGTGATAATTTAATATCTTAGCTTTAAACAAAGATCTAATACATAAACAAATAAAAAATGTTGCAGAAAGAGACACCAATATTTTTGCACGGAAAAATCCTGAAAAGAGAAAAAATCATGAGATCCAACCCAGTTAAAATAATTAATTGTATGTTTATATGTACATGCTTACTTTTCTCTGAATTTGAGAAAAATAGTTGTCATTAGATCCACCATTGTTTGATCACTATTGCAACTTATGTTAGATTACCGTTATTGGGCTGATGCCATTGCCACATTTGAACCTCCATCGATAGTCGAATCATCGCCATTTGACAATCACTACTATTGATACCGGACCAGCGTTGCCTGCTCGCCACCACTGTCAATGATGATGAATTCAAATCTACATTAGATAGCTTTTATCATCAACCTTCCATCATAACATCCATGCGGTCATTACCATTTCCACGATAATTTTTATCACTCCTCCAGTAAAAATCAAGTAGATAACTAGCTTGCTTGTAACAATATTTTATGTTGTTCAAGAGCAGAAAAACTCTTGTAACATACATCTCAATAGATAACTAATATCAGTTTTCCAAGTAACTGCCGAGGTTGAAGGAAGGTCCCAGGTTTGTGCGGTCGAATAAACCCACAAATTGAGTCATTTTCTTACTCCAGATTATTTCCAAGTTCCAGCTCTCATAGAATCCTTCAGCTGTCAGTTTTATTGCCTAATGTGGTTTCTGGTTTCATGTCTGGCAAGCATCGTAAATTATGTATAACTAATTAACTTCATGGATTACTTGAACACTATTATGTCTTTCTGTAGGTGAACACTTCATGTTTTAATCAGAGAAACTTAAGATAGCCGCTACTTGTTAGAAGCCAGCTATGTTACGCACATGGCCAAAAGAAAATTCAGGCCATGATAGCAATAAACAGAGGATTTATTTACAACATGGAGACATTTAGAAATATAGAAAATGTTCAACATCTCATCCTTCAAAGCGGCTTACATTCAGCTGCAAGATGCTTATATCTCAATATAATCCTGAGAAGATCCAGGTTTTGTGCTATATATACATGCAAATCCTCACCAAAAATAAACCTTTTTTTCAAAAAATATGAATAAAATGCAATGAGTGCACTATCAAAATAATTTCAAGCTTCGGTATTTGATGGATGTATTAGTATTTATGGTTCTCATCTTATCTTGTTATGCCATTTCATATTCTTAACAATGCTTATAGATGTCAAGTTGATTTGTTTTGAAAAAAAAAATACAAAAAAGGAAAGAGTACACTATATAAAAATATTTCTAAAAGAAAAAGAAAAAAAAACAAAATAAATACTAAGCAATTCTTAAATTACCCATTATACTAACAATTTCTTACATTTTATAGACACTTAATAATGTTTTTAGAGTAAATGATATACAAACTTAATATTTGACGACGAGTATTAAATATATGGGATTATGAAATTTTGTTTAATCAAATTATAATAATTAGAGACTAAGTTAATAGTGCATATAGGATCAAATATGTTACTGAGTATAGGGATGTCAAAACGGCTCTTTGTTCGCTAACAGCTCGTGTTCGGCTCGTTCGCTAAGTTAATGAGCCGAATACAAACAACACGAGCTATACAAATATTTGTTCGTTTGTGTTCGGCTCGTTTTGACTGACACACACACGCACAGAGATATAAATATCTCTCTCTCTCTCTCTCTCTCTCTCTCTCTCTCTCTCTCTCTCTCTCTCTCTCTCTCTCTCTCTCTCTATATATATGTATATATATATTATATCTTTGATGAGTAGAATTTTTAAGAAAATTAATTGATTGTAAGGCTACAAAGATTTATAATCAATGAAAAATATTAATGAAGGTGTAAATTATTAAATTAGAATTAAATGATGTTTTAAATCTTGCCCCAATCCTTAACATCTTATGGCTATGTGATTAGGGTTGTCAAAACCACTCTTTATTCGTGAACGGCTCTTGTTCGGCTTATTAAGAAAACGAGCCGAACACGAATACACTTTTTGAACTCGAAATATAAACAAGCCGAGCACGAGCTGAGCCTGGGCTCGCTTGTGTTCGGCTCGTTTACACCGCTCACTGGGGCGGCTCGTTTACACCGCTAACTGAGTGACATTTGTATTGTCAAGAATAATAAGGCGGCATACATGTAATTTAAAAAAAAAAATTATATAGTATTAAATGCATAATTTTGGGTGATATATAATGCGATGCATAACCATTGAATCAATTGGAGAATTCTACTAAGATTAATTGAGGCAGAGTAAATATCTTGAGTTCTTGCCTTAATTGCAATGACTGATTTTGTTGTTAGAGTTGAGGTTGTAAATGTGAATGAGCCTGAGTTTTATTTAGCTCTATTGGTTATCTATCGAGTCCAATTTGAACAAGCTAAGTTTGTTAATTAATTGGAAAAATCTTGTGGTTTTCAATTTATTTATATTGAGCAAAATATAACTTTCAGTCAAATTAATGACCATAAAATATACTGAGCCGTATGGTTCAAAATCCTTTCATGCTGATTAAATTCTAAAGCATATGCTTTCCATGACTTAGATTAAAATTAGTGATTCTTGATATTAAGAAGGGACCATGAAATTTCTCATATTTATTATTTAATTAAAGAATTAAAAGGCCCTTTGGGAACACCTTTGATTTTGATTTTTTTTGTTTTTTTTTTGTTTTTTTTGTTTTATTTATTTAATTTCTTAAAATAAAATATGTTTGTTATATTATAACATTGAGAGTTTTTTTAAATACTCAAAAAAACATTTAAGTGTTTTGAGTATTTTTAAAATAAAAAATAAAAAAAAACAACTTACAAATATACTATGCAAATATGTTTTAAAATAAAAGCAAAAGAAAAAAAAAACGTGATCTCAAAAAAACCCTAAGATTTTTAAAACTAAAAAAAAAATAATAGTTCATGGGATGGTGAATGGCTTGGTCAAGATGAATGATTTGCCTCAAAACATGAAATATGATATATTAATATGCTTGAAAGTGCAACATATTAATTAAAAATAAAAAAAAAAATCCAAAATATAAAGTTTTAGCACTCAAACCATCCAAAAAAATAAATAATAAATTAATACACCATGTGTATGTATGTATGTATGTATGTATGCATAAGAAGCCATATCTTCTTCATAGGTTACACCTTTCTTATGGTTTTAAGGTTTAAGAAAACATGTCATATAAGTAAAGAAGCCTATCGTTTATTTTTCGGGAGCTCGAATGTTTTCAGATAACTTTTATATACGTATATATCTTGTATACATTTACACACACACACATATACACACAATATTTTTGTGCAAGCTAATTTATTTGGTGAATAAAGGAGATAAAATAATGCATACTTTCCAAAAAAAAAAAGGAAATCTAAAAATATAGTGAAAGTTATTCGGATGACAAACACGAGTCACATATTTACTTATATTTGAGGCTGTATGAAAGAATTGATTGCCTATTGATTGAAGTTTGGTTTTCATGGCTACAAGTTCTAGCAACGTATTTTATAATTCATCATTCATTATTTCAAAAGAAATTGAGGCACTATTTAGTCTTGTTATTGATAAGTTGACTCGAGCACTACTTTGTTCGTGTTCATTTATTCATTTATTTTAAATATATTGACTTTGGTTTGAACTTGAACTTAAACCAAAATTTAAAATATTGGTTAGGCCTATTTATTATTATTTCCTAAAAAAAAAGTACATACCATACCACACAATTCGTAGGTATTTACATGCCTAACCCATAAAAATTTAATATTTATATTTATCACACTTTGTGTCATAAACTTAGGCATTAAAGGGATATTCCACTATTAAGAAATTACTAATACTGCTATTTTTTTTATGATATTAAGGATTTAAGGGTTAAATATGTGTAAATATTAAGATTTAGGTATTAGATATGTACATTGTACTCGGAAGTGTACAATGTGCTGGTGATGATTCTCAGTCCTATGGAACGTCTTAAAATTTGGTGGTACGAAGCCCTTAGGGTAGGGTACGCAATCAAACTACTCTGGGTATGGTCTACCCCTTGAAACTGATGCACCACCATTGAACTAGGTTAAGACTTAAAATTAGAACCATACATTTCAATAAAGTCTATTAAATTCGTTGTTTGATGTTAATGAATTAAAAATGTTTATTAATGAATATGTTTTGAATTATAAATTTTAATTAAAATAGCTTATGTTATTATTATCATTTATTTATTTTTTTTGTTGAATTCAAATGCTCAAAAGATAATATTTTATTTTTCTTTTTATTTGGTACTATTTTCATTCATGTACTTCTGGCAATATTCAATTTTTTTAAATGCATAAAATAATAATAAAAAAATTGATATAAGATATTAAATAAAATATTTTTAGTTCATTGTGAGCTGTTTATTAAATAATAAATAGATATGCTTATGAACATAAATAAAGAAATGGCTTATTATTCAAACTTGCCAATTATTATCTTATTAAAAAAATTAAAATTATACAATTATATATATCATTAAAAATAAATAAGTTTTATTTCAAAGTAATCATGGAATACTTTTTGCATGCCTTTTTATTTACATATATTTATATATCCAATATTTAAAATTTATATTTTGAATTTATCACTATTTTAAAATTTAAAAAATGAAATACATATTCAAAGTGCGAGAGAGAGAGAGAGAGAGAGAGCGAGAGGGAGAGAGAGACGGGTCACTTTATTCATGCATTGTGGGAACAGTTTTAACAACCACCCAAATAACTAAATTGATGTGTCTATTGAATGAAAATTACATTATAATACAAATGAAATATAATGTATGAGTGTATCAGGTTCGAACGGCTATGTCTACCGATCACATAGGAGATGTTTCTGTCGAGGAAACAGGTCGGTCAATTTCGGTCAGAGGCTTGTTGATCGACAGGTCAATTGCCTAGGTCCGTAGAAGGATTGAGTGGTATGTATGTAATATTAAAAATTTAGATGTAAGATACAAAAATAAGAAGAATTTGGTGGTATTTATGTAAATCACCCTTTCATTTATAGCCCCAGTTTATTCTGAAATACGGGACATATCAGAACCCTATTCGAAGTCGCGGAAACCCTAGAGAGATCGGCGAAGGATTCTCACAGCGGCAATGAGGGCGAAGGTAATTTTTTTTTTTGGTTTAAATGAATCAGTTATAGTTCTCAGCTTCTGCAAATATCAATAGTTATGCCAATCCTGTCTTCTTAATTTAAATATCATGTCCGTAAGATCGAGTTCTCATAAGCGTTTCCAGGTCTTTCCGCTTTAATAAGTATTTCTGAATGGTTATGATTTTTCTCATAAAATTTTATTGAAAACAGAGAACACATTGACACATACGTCCTGTTGTCTGGGATTAATGTTCGGATTTAATGTGCATCTTGAACTTGTTATTGTTGTTCACTCTGTTTCTTATATGTGGTTTATGAATCCTGTCAATAATCACTACTAAATTGACTGCTATCATTTACAATTTACCTGCGGACATGTTTAGGTCTTTATGATGGAGGTGCGTCAAGTTATTTTTTCAAGTTCTGCAATTTTTGTGTTGAGGAATTGCATACATGCACCTATGCTTTTTTTTATGCTACCAAACTCATGTACTTTGCCCATTCCACGTTAAAACCGCGAGTTTGGTAGCATGTTTTAACCGCGAGTTTGGTAGCAAGTTCTGCTATCATTTCTGAATGTGTTTCTTGAACAATAGGAGCGAGAGAAGTTATCATGCTAAATTTGCCTTATGTCTTACTTTGATGTTTTATGTTACTTTCATTTCATGTTTTATGATAGTTTGATGACTTGGTCAATTGATATTTACATTATATTTTTGTATTGTTTGTGGCTTATGCAATTTGTTATTTTTTATAGATGTAATTTTAACTTTTTATCATATTAGGATATATATATTATTTTTATCCATTTATTTTCACTTATGCAATTTTGAAACTGTGAGCCTTATGCCTCAAAATGCCTCAAGACTTGTGTCTCACCTCACAAACGAGTAACTACTCCATACGCCAATTATGTATTTTTAAACATTGTATAAATTTTAAGTTGACTTGCAAAAGCTAAAAGAATGTTAAATAATTAGAGAAATAACATTTAATATTTTTCAATAATAAATATTCAGGGTTTTAATTATAGTATGGTGAGTCATGCAATGAAGCTGTGGAACGTAGTACTTAAGACAACCATAGAAAAGTTATCTTGGTATTATAAATCAATTTAATTATTTGTCAAATAGATGTATTATGAATTTGACAACTGTGCTGAGGGAATTATTGAAGTATAAAAGGAGCAAAGAAAGATCTTTATATGATTAATTTAGTGTGAAACATGCAAAAAGGATGTGTTAAATAATTGTTGAAGTTATCAATATGTGCATGCAACATTAACTGATATTGGGTGACCATAGAGATGTTAATCACATTTAATTTATAAGGATTTGTATTATTATTGTTAGTAATGGAGATGCTTAAAATGGTAGTTTAAAATGCGATGCCTTTGCGAATGGCTTTTAACGATGACATGGTTTTCATGATGAAAGCATTATTAAAAGTAGTAAAAAAGCTAAATTGATGGAGATAATGTGTAAAAGTTAAAGAGCTTAGGATTGCTAGGACTAAGAGCACATGCACGCTATGATGTTTTAGTGCGTGATATTATTATTTATTAGCCAATATTAGTAGTTCATATAGTTACACATGTTTGATTGGTTATTTATCTTGAATTTATCTCATCGAAGATTTGCAAAACTTATACAGCTAGGGTAAAATAGAGAATATCTCGGAGAAGAATATCTTGGAGATTTTAATGGATAAATTTTAGAAAATTAAAATTATGCCTATCTTGTTGTATGGATTTAAGTGTTAAACAATAAAAAAAATCATTGATAAATAACTATGACATTGTTGAATTGAGAATATTAATATGAATGCCTAGGAAAATCAGAAAAATGGAAAGGAAACTGAATATGAGATAGGTATCTAAGAAAAACAAATTGTAGCGCTATATTTGAGCCATATTTAATGTGAGATAATATGGCTAGTTACATTATAAGCACCATCATAAAATTTTTATTAAAGTTTATAAATATATGTTATAATAAAAAAATTGAATTGATTATAGAGTTAAAAGGGTGTGAAATATTATTGAGAAAAATTTGCTTTTCAAGAGTGAAAATATTATGTCTCTAGATTCTTGTAGTATCATTATCTCCTTCAATAAGGCCCTTAATCTAGAGATTAGGATTAATTAAGCTATAAAATACGAAAAAAATATTACTGAAAGCTTTATATAAAATAATCATTTATTATGATTATTGTACATGTGATTAATTTTCCTACTGAAAGATCAATGTCATCTCCTTTAATATTTCTTCAAGCGTGTATTAGATTAAAAGATGATTTGTAATTACAATATATATTAACATATGAAGTTCTTAAGAAATTTACATCTACAATAAATCATTTTCATGAATTTGAACTTAAATTAACCAAGATTTTAAATTCAATGTGAAATCATTTATGCATCCGAACATCTAATGACAACTATTGTAGTTAATGAATTAATCTACTAATTTGATAATGCAACATTTATGTTAATTTTATTTTTTAGTTCTTAGTTTTTCAATATATCCATATATTAAACTAATCATGTGGAGAAAGCTAAGTTGCATCAATGTTTTAGACAATTTGTTCTTTGAAAAATGCCCAAATTATGAAATTCAAAATTCCTTCTTTTTGGGAAATTCTTAAAGTTCCTAATTTATCAGCATTTATCCTTAAGCATTTGACTTAAATTTCCTTTTGCAGTATTATATCATTTTTTATGGCTTGTTTGCTTTCAATTTTTTAGTAGTGCATTTTCAACTTTTTAAAGTTATAGGTTTTTATCAATCTCTTAGGGTCCATAAGTGTTTTATTATTTTATTTTTTTTATTATTGTCTTACATCATCCTAATAGCTCTTATGACAATTTTAAGTTAACTTTTGATTTGAATGGGAAGGGAGACAAGGTATTGGTAGATAAAAATCTGGAGAGGTTTCTTACAACAGACCATTAGAACTTGATTGCATGAAAGCATAACATTTAAGTTAATGTAGTGCATTGATACAAATACCTGTAGATTAGAAATTTAAGGAAGCTCTTGCTTTAGATCAACCGTCAATGTATTTGGTTTGATTTTATTTCATTAATTAACTACAAATGCTTTGGATTCTTTCCTCTTCCATCTTGTGAATTAGTTTCCAATACTAGACTATATTTTATTTTATTTTTAATATTTGAGGATTAAATTGTTTCTACAATAGATATTGTGATTTTTGTTAGTGTTTGATCCGAAAAAATCTAGTGCCACTGATCTTGTGGGAAGTATTGTTATCTTGTGGGAAGTGTTGTGATTCAAAAAAAATATTTATCATATTTTTTATTTATATCAATAGATGGCCACTTGTTTTATTTTGACTTTGGAATTCTGAATTCCCAAATTTGATTTGTGTGGTTTTATACATTGCATCATTTATGCACGTTAGGAAACCTCAGGCCCAAGACAATCTACGTTTGATGGGATTCTTAAAATTGGGGTGTCAACTATTGAATTAATTGATAGAATTTGAGCCACCCCCGATTTGACCTTGAGCTTAATTAATTGATAGAATTTGAGCTGAAGCTCGATTCTACTTTTTTTTATTAGCCTCGCAAGTTGGGTTATTTATTTTGGAGAAGAAATAATAATTCTGCTTCAAGCACTTGTCACAATAAAATGATAAAAATGAAAAATCAATTGATAAAGGAGGTAAAATATAATTTTTTTATTTTTTTTTTGAGAATTTTATGTTTACACTCTTAAAGTCAAAAACATGTTAAGTAAATTTTATTTTCTTTTTTAAAATGAACCTACTTAGAAGCTCATTTTTAGCTTGTTACCTCAAGTTGAGCTCGAGCCGCCTCAACCAAGTACGACCCAGTTAATCTAAATTTGATTACAACTGACCATGAAGGGGTTTTTTTAAGACATAAAGCCATAAAAATGCTAAAATACTCTCAATAATTGAAGCACACGATAAATAAAAGAATATTTACGAAGATTCTATTTTTTTTAAATGACTCATAAGTTCTAATTAAATCTTCTTCAGTTCATTGCTTAATCATCATGAAAGTCATATCGATTGGTAGGAGCTAAGTAATAGTCAAGTGATGCGACCAAAATGTTAGGAAGTATCGCAATAAACGTAAGTACGTGTCGGTCAAATAGTATACAAAACTGAAAATCTCTGCATCAATCCCAAGAGGAACGATTAAACTCCCAAATATGGAAAAGTTCTAGTTTACTAGTTTTGACTATAGCCTTAAGGTTTGAAATTTGGTGAGTTTAAAATTTTTAATATTAATTTTTACAAAAAGTAAAACCTATATTTAGTTTTGAGTTTGAACAAGTGATATAAAACTCCCTTGAATTGGTCATATCCAAACCAAATCTTTCTCAATGACCAATGATGTTGACAATCATGAATAACAATTTCCCTTAGCCGCTCAAAGTTGGTATAAGAAAATTGGGGTTTTATATTACTGTTAGTCCCCTAATCATGCAAAAATTTTAGTGTTCGTAAATTTTTTCTACACGATAGCACCATCCTAAGAGCAATATTCTTTTTCACTTAGAGTAGTGTAGGTTAATCTAATTGTTCCACTTGCTTACTCGCTAGTTCACAATTTATTTTAACTTAAGTGATCAGTTTATGAGTAAATTACAAGCAAAAAGTTAAACTATTAACTTATAAATTACATGCAAACGCATATCAAAGACTTCACCGATTGCATAGAATCCAATTCAAGGGAGAGAGAAGTTTAAGTCGTACTTATTGCGGTTGAACACAACATAATTTTTATTGCAAAATTAAAGTTTAACAAAGAACGATCTCGCCAATGTTCTGATACGATCGTCAAAATCAACACACTTTTCTACAGAAATTAGGGCAAACACAATATTTCTTCAATAATACAAACAACTCAACTATAATACAAAGATAAAAGTCTACAATTCGAGAGGTAGATGATCTATCCCAAATCTTAAACTTAAGACTTACAATCCAATTTCGTGTGTAAACATAACCCTAGACA